GTTGGTCTTTTCTAAATGTTCAATTGTGTTATGCTTTAAATTTTATTAAAGAGCAAACTAATAAATTTGTTTATTAGTATATAACGGCTTTGTCATATTGTTTATTCTTCCGGTTCGTTGGTGTTTTTCTTTATTTTTGTTTCGTTCTCACAGTCTACAGTTAATTTTTTCTATTTATAAGTTCAGAGTGAATGAAAATACGATATGATGTATATAAACTGAAATTAAAACGCTTTCAATTTTATATCGGATTCATAAATATCTATTTTTGTTTCCTCACATTGTCATCAGACTAGATTTCTGATTTTGACAATGAGTTGTTAAGTCTAATTCAAAGTTGGTTAAAGTGAATTTATACAGTGTAAAGTAGAATATAAGAGGTGTGGATTGGAAAGATTCTTTTTTCTTAATTCGTTATTATTCATATTTTATTGTTCAATGTCATGGGAATTCTTAATAACCCAAATTTAAGTGATAGAAGATACAACTAATGTAACTGGAAAATTTAGAGTAATAAAATGTTTAGAACTGTATACTATCTAAATATCTCATGTGTAGTAACAATTATCAATAAAGCATTTGGACTATAAATTAGTTTTATTATGATCATCGTTTTTATTTAGGTTTTCCAATTTTCTCGAAAAGATTTTTAAGACGTAGTGTAATTTCACTAGCTATTCATTTCTGTAATGTAACCTATTAAATATGTTAGAAGTGTATTAATTAGAGTTTTGAGTAACACTTTTAATGTCAGAACTATTGATAACATAAGTACTTAAGCCATCGTACGAAAGTGGGGTTCTAATTTCAAGTGTAATAATTAAAAATTAAGTTATTTAACTACATTAAATGGTTTACCCTCGTGTAGATACATAAATATGTATTTGACTAGTCTCTGTTCTTTATTTGAAACATATTTCTTTATTAGGACCTTATGTACTTGGTTGTATTTTATGAGGATGTCTTAATTCTGAAACAGATTTTTTGGGTGAATTCATCCATCAATTTAGTCTGTATAGATCGAATACAATTTAACAGTAAGCTATCAAAGTATATTACATAATTCATGCCAGTTTACAGACATGATCATTTTGACATAAATAATAACATTAAATGTAGAAAACAAACGTGATATAAGATTGTTTTAAGTTTACTAGTTCAAGAATTATTTATTTAGTACATTTATGACATGTTTCACAGTAATGAAATGCATCGGCCGGGAACTTTTAACTCTTCTTAAGTGGACATCCTATTGATTTATGAACGGTGCATTTAAGCTCATTTCTTGCGCCATAACGAATTAATTATAATAATCTACAACTAGGGAAAGTAAAATGGAAGCAGTGAGCATGGAACAACAAGGCAATAATTACTAAAATGTTTCAGTCATGTTTACCATAACGTATGTGTCATGTGACTCGGTGATATACTGTTCATGTTAGATATTATTCAAATTAGTTAGGGTTGCCAGGAACGGTGTTAACGTAAATTAACAGCAGGTAGGTGATTTTACTTAGGGAATTCAGTAATACGAATGGCTAAACATTTAAAATTCCTATAATCTCACTTGTGGAGTATGTTACGCTTAGAAGTACTAGAACATTTAATGCATTTTCAAAGGAGCAGTATGCATCATTGCAGCGAACAAAGGGTAGGAGTGATTTTAGCTTACGGCTAGATTGTGTTAGATTATTCTAGAGTTTGGAAGATCTGCAGGTAAAGTAATTCATATAGAGAGATGATTTATAATGGGTTTGCTTCATTAAAGAAAGGGAATTATGATTAGTAGTATACTTTCGGTGTTTCAAGTTTCCATTGTTCCATTTGTCTCTGTTTTTTGCATTTATGGTTATCAAAAGCATAAATGTTAATCTTATTTGTCCCTGTTTACTCCCATTGATCCTGATAAGTTTCGTAACCTAGTAATAACTAATTATTATCCAAATATGTACTTGATTAACACACGTGTCAATTATATAATACACTCATTATATCTTCAATCTCTTAGTTCAGATACAGGTGATCATGTTCATTCGGTTTACTTAGTGTTTTCAATGAGGATATTACGTGTTGAGTGAGTTAGAGTGGTCTGGAGCTACTTATAATCCGGCCAGACATCGGGACTATTATGTAATTCACCTCGGTAGTACATGTCTTCGTGTTGTGTTATTGTTTAACATGCAATTGAAGAAAGACTATTATTTCAGATTAAATGGTTTATATTATGACTACACTGCCTAAGTAGTACCAATACTGAATGTAAAATCCTAGTTTAAGTAAATGAAGCATATTTTGTCCTAAACATGTAGTAATTGAAATACTAAGATATGTTTTGCACATTTTAAATTACTATTTTTATTCGCACTATATATGGGACAAGAATAGTTGTTCATCCCCGTTGATGTTAAAATATTTCCACTCTTCCAACACATATGCATTCTTTGTCTACAACTCTAAGTACATTCTTGTTTTTCAAAAAATCTTTGTATCTTTAACACTATGATATATCAGACTTAGATCATCTAATAAGGGAATCATTGGACATCCTGTCATGGTCATGATATTGACGTAATCTGAGTTATTTTTTAATAAATCCGTTCATTAGACGCTAGAGTAAGTCTCAGATGTTACTTTATGTATGGAAAAATTCACTAATTCTTTTGTTGTGTCATATATACAAATCTGTCATTTGACGTTATCTAATATCGTTTATAGTTTTAGATATATATACCTGAGTAGAGTTATACTTGTTTGTTGCAATGAGTTATATTTTTTTAGTGGGTGTTTTCATTTTTCCACTTATTACTTCCGAAAATACATATGATTTGTAACAAATGTATACGTAAAAAATAATTGTTATGATTTTTCAGCCATAAATATTGTGGAATTTAGTGAAGGATTAACTGATGACGTAAACTGACCATTTTTTAGTGTTCAGATTTTATCAGTCTAATATCCTCATTGCTTTCCTGTAAATCTCTCATTTGTGTTGTATAAGATAGCTGATAAGCAACTAACATTTTCAGTTTAATGTTCAAGTTTTAACCTTATTAGATTATATACTAATCCCAACAGGGAAGTTAAGTAGGTGATTTGACTTTCCATGGTTAGCTAGACGTCAGTCGTAAGCCGTAAGTGAGTAGTCAACCTATAAACGACGAACGCAAAGCCTTTTTAAAATACAATAGTAACACCCAGTGTTTGTCGTTTTCTTCGTTTTATTAAGTTGTTGTTAATTAAGTCTTTGAGTAGGTACCGGTCTTGTTCTTTACTAATTACTATTTCACTGAAATATATCTTAGCTGCTTATTAATTTAGTTTCTGTTGGGCAAGACTATAATTTATGGACGAATAAATCAGATTCAAGATTACCAGGTCTTGAATTTCGGCGCGAAATCTATTCATTTATTTGGCTAAATATAGTTATGGCATTTTAGCATATGTCATTTCTTGATGAAAATCATAAATCTAATTTATAACCCTAACCACCAATTGTAAATCATAAACTTTATTCTTCACACAGGTATATAACTCTCATTTAGCTTTAGTAAGTTAGTGGACATTCTTAAGGTCACTTTAGCTCCGCTAAATGATCGTCCATAAATTATAGTCTCACCGATCCTGTTGCCAGATTTCGTTTCAAGAGAAGTAGATAAGGTAAAAGTATACTATTTTGGGGACCTTGGGCGACTTGTCAACCAATCAGGAAACTCGTTCTAGTTGTATAGCTATTAACAAGATAAGGCTATAAAATAACAGTAGAATAATGGCTTAGATTTGAATAATTAGCCTTCGCATGTCAAATTGTCTTTTATAGTAATGGAAAAAGGTCAAATGCACTTATTAGGAGCCTGGTTAGTGTTGCGTGTTAAGGTTATTACCTCATGGAGTTCCCGTCACCAACTGACACAAGTTATAATGTAAGAAGACTAGGATTAAATATTTAGAGTTACGCTGCAGTTTATAGTTAAGTTTACAAATTTGGGTTAGGGTTTTCATCACGAACTAACATCAGCTATAACATAATGATTTCTCACCCTTATTTTTTACGAACTTAAGAAACTTAGTGTTGAGATTTAGAGTAAGTGTTATAAAAGGGGAATATTATATAGCTTCACTAAACACTTAACTGCGCGTTGAATCACATCAAGAACTTTAGCACACAATCTGGCTTAGGAGCAAGTATGTCTTGTAACTTTGTACCATCTTAACTTCACTTTTTGGTTGCATACCGGATATTTTCATTGATTGCCAGTATTGTAATAATTTATTATTGCCATTTTTCACTTAGTTGATAAGAACATACAAGTTATCTATCATTGTACTTTAAATTTCGCGTAAAATACGTGAAGGGTTATCTTCTGATTTGTTAACTCAAGGCTATCAGTATACTATACTTTTACCAGAGACAACTCAATTCAGTATTTAATTAACTGTGTTTTTGTTTTCTCACTATATACTCAACAATAATCAATGTTAATTAGGCTTTTATAGGTGTGGGAAATATTTCCCAATAAGTAGATGAAAATTGGTTATACCTTCATGCTATGATGTACGTTATCTATCAATAGAATGAACTTTTAAAGCGACCAGTGAAAAAAATTGTCGAGAATAACCGTAAATATATCTCAGAATCATTGTTACTGTTGGAATTTTCTTTTTTGATGATATTTATCTCCTGATGAATAAACTTTTATGATTATAACTCGTTTTACTTACTCAATGTGTTGCATCATTTGATGGCTTATGAAATTGATTTACTGTATGTGTTTACCACATGATTAGCTAAATAAATTGTTCTAATGAATCATTTATGTTATAACGGTTTAATCAGGTTAGTCTATACAATATGTCCAGTCATTTCATATTCTAGTTAGATGATTGAAGAAGTAACATTCTGTTAGTTCAGTTTAATTTCAGAATTTTCGAAATAAATTCTACTTAGACTTTCATTTGTTCGTTATTATACAAGTTCTTTATTATATTATTTTTACAACTAGAATCGTGGAGGTCCTGGTGGTCTTGATATGAATGTTCAATCAGTTTGGGCACGTGGTTATGCAGGTCAAAGTGTCGTGGTTACTATTCTAGACGATGGTTTAGAAACAGATCATCCAGATTTAAAAGATAATTACGTAAGTTATATTCTTTCTTCTGAGACATTTTCTTGATTATACTTTTTTATTTTTTGAAATGAAAATATAAAGAAAAATATCTTTTATGACACAATACTGTTTTGCTTTTGATGATGTAACGATAGCCTACATTGTCTTTTAATGTTTCTTAACTTGTAATAATAGGGAAAAAATCATTCCTTATAGAAAATATCCTTAAATGTCTAATATTTTGTAACATGTCGCAGTGTTCGGTACTGATTTTCTAAACATTATTTCATTGAATCGTTTCTGTTTAAATTCACTGTTGATTGTTTGTTCCATTGTGATAAATAATTTCACGAATACTTACCTTAGTTATCTACGTCTCTAACAACTATGCTTTTAAATATATCTAGTTTCTAGCCTTTATTAGGCAGTCTCTACTTGATTGAATTTCTTCATTTCAATTACTGAAGCTTTTTATTCCTCAATATTTAGATGAATTTGATACCCCAAATTATTTGCGTTTGTTTTTTGCATAATAACTGACAATCATATGGATTTTTTCTCAATTTCAGACAGTAGTAATTACTTACTTTGTTCAAATAGTGTCTTAATTAGATGACTATGTGTTCTATGCGCAGTTTGGTTTTATTGTCAAAAAGCATTTCCTTTATAATTAAGGAAAGTCGGATCAATGACTGTGGATAATATCGTATACACTTCTCATATTATGATCGACTATATGCCTATAGTTGATTGGAGTTATGGATCTATTCCAAATCACTTCATATGATACACGGTCAAGTATAACTAATGGATATTAAGAATATTAGTCTCTATATTTCTTGTTAAAAAAAGTCTATATTCTCGACAAACCAATCATTAAAAACTCAACTGGTTTACTGAAATATATACTGCTTCTTGATTTGATTTAAGTGGATTCAAGAAAATTCAGTTGAAGTATTATTCTAACTGTTGTATTTATATCTGACATTTAGTTATTATGTGTTTAATGATTTGTTAATTTATAGTCTTTAGTAAGAGATATAAGTTAATTTTAATGATTGATTCCTAAAACAAGACATTTAGATATGGTGGAAAGAATTCTAATTATAACCTTTCAATTGATGTTGAACCGATTTGATGGTTCCTTTTTAAGTTTTCAGCAATCGAACTCGCGATAATTTTAAAACATTTGATGATATTACGCAAGTACATGCAGTTATCATACTTAATTAGCCAGCTAAAACAAATATAAAACAGAAAATTCCGGCAATAAATCCATGTCGAAAAATAGGTGACACAGAAGTTTCAACAGACCGCTGGTGCATTAATCGTATGTCAGTTTAAGACAGGACCTTACCTTTGATCAATACAAAATCTCTCAAAAGTCTCCATAGCGTTTAACAAGTTAATTACTTTTACACATTGTTCTAACTTCATATTTTATTTAAAAGTTGGCTTTTAGAATAACACCAAAACAACTGTGCTTCTATTTTATAATTCATATCCATCCCTAAACTAATGATCAAATTTCCACTCCTTTCCTCATTGTTCTCCTCAAACCTGTGGTCCAATAATACTAAGAATTGTAGAAATGATATAATCTGTTATCTTAGTAAGATAATGATTTGTTCAATGATTAACTTTTTACAGTAATATTCTCTAGTAATCAGTAGTTTAGATTCAAGTGTAATTGCAGTTAGATATAATTTGCTGCTCGGACGAAAAATGTGTACGCCTAGACTTATTGAGCAATAAAGCTCAAACTTATTACTATTTTTAAATATTATTTGTCATACTTTCAAAATCTGTCGTTAGATATGATGAAAAATACCTGCAACATCCTAAGATCTCTGATCAGCTTTGATATTTTTTGTATTCACTTACATGTAGGCATTTTTAGGTAATCAAGTACTGGTCTACCCACTCTATTTGAACCACATTATTTTGTTAAAGGGTTTAAGGAAGCATTTCAAACATTTCACTTCTATCCGACGTTTGTGCTGGTGTTATTGTTCAGAGGAACAATGAAAGCTTCATAACCAAACCATTTAATTCAGAGAACAAAACTTCACCTAAACCTATTTTTTTAACTTTGAATCTTAATCTTATTTCCTCATACTAGTTTATAATTCTCTTGTAACCCTAGTAAATGGTCAAATTTTTTATAGGTCACTTTAACATTACTCAAAGGTCATTAATACATTATAATCTCGCCCAAAATTCAATTTTGTCTACATGATTTAAAAGTTGTATGGTTTGTTCAATAAGCCATTTCTACTTTCAATTTTATCGCAAAAGGTAAATAAAGAAGTAATTTCTAGTAATAACTATAAAGAATAAATTTATGAAGCATCTCTTTTAAGTTCATAAAATCATTAATTTACATTTATGGTTTGTCGTTTGTTTTGAAATGGAGAATTTCAAATAAAACATGAAAAAAAAAATTTATGTAAGCTTCATTTTCATTTATACTAAAGTGATTTATTAGGTTGGTTAATATATGCGTATATTTAATTCTTTTTAGTGATATTAACATGTTTGTTGAGTTAGTTAACATTTTATGGAAATCCATTCAACCAATGTTTTGGTCTTTTTTTTGTTTTGTTTTTGTTTTTGAAACTAAATGTTTAAACTTATCAGTTTATTGTTTCTTTTCTTTTAACATTCCATCGAGAATTTTCTTTTATCATCCATGAACACACACACACACACACTCATATCTGATAATGAATGATATTTAGGAATTTATGTGTAATACATGTTCTTGTGTCTGATGTAAAAGAGTTGAAATAAAATGGTGGGAATAATATTTTGAAAGTCATAGTTGATCATAACTACTTGACGAATCTTAATGATAATTAGTTTAATGGATTGAGGAATTGTTTTAAAATTAAGAATTTTGTCAATGCACTAGCTCAATACGATGAGATGAATTTATTAAATCAAGTGCTCGTTTATTTAATCGGTATTAAGTCATACTTTTTGTCTGAAGGCCCATGAAATTTTTGGCTTGCCAAGTAGCTGTTGATACATTCAATCCAGTGTTTGATAGTGTTATATCCGAGTGAAGAATAAATCACGAGTAACTTCTGAGAAATATTGATTGACTAATATTATCTATACATTCTTATGGTATAACCATTCAATAATTAGATTATGTATATTTATATTCCTCTTATTATAAGCTTTATTTTGACCTATAATTTATTATTATACTATTTACTGTTCTTAAGCTATGTTCAGTTTATTGACTATTGCCTCCCACGTTCACAGCCAATTTTTGGCTTTATTGTGTACAAATGTTATTTCCTATTTTATTCTCTATAAAAAATTTTGTTGATTTATAACAATTTCTAGACCACTGAACCGGCATCCAACGATGTTAATGTCTAACTTCAACTAATCAACGAAATTGAACCACCGTTCACTATTGTTTTCTGTGAAGTTAGAAATTAACACGGTTGGATGCCAAGTCAGTGGTTTAGACGCTAAGCGTTCACACGCGAGACTGATAGGTCCTGGGTTTAAATCTTGCGGAGCCGGATTGTAGATGCGCACTGGTGAGGAGTCCCATACTAAGATAAAACGACCGTCCAGTGCATCCAGGTTTTCCATGGTGGCCTAGCTTCGGTCGACTTATGAATTCAACTATAAAATGAATGAAATCTCTACAAAACCACTTCTGGTTATAACAATTTGTTGAAATTTCTCACTGAACAAAAAAGGTAGCCCCGATGATTTCAGTATTACTTCTAATATCTAGATCTATACTCTTGAAAATAAATTCCATACATCCATTAAATTTTTCAAATCATTATTTAATCGAATAAAAAAAGAGAAATGTTGATAAATTTATTTGACATTAGCTAAAGGCAAAATAGAATGACCCAGAATACAAGTTTGTTACTGACAATTAAGTTAATTTTCCAATAATTTATTATTGATAAATGAAGTGAAGGAAAAGCCAAATAGAAAAAAAATAGAAGAAATCTTATGAACTTTGTTAAACATAAGAGAATTCAACTTCGTGACAAAAAAGAACCATTTTGCGAAAATTGTTCATTGAATTGTTAGATTCTGTATACATTTAAAGTTTAATTTAGTCCAAATATACTTTCATTTTAGTCTAATAATCCAACTGTTTCATTGATCATATTTGTTATTTTCTTTGTTTTTAAATACGAGAATATTTTTATTTTTCCCTCTTGTCAACTTACATTCTGTAAGTAGTATATAAACAGATACTTGAAATGAATTTATATAGTTTCTTACTTACGGTCATTTCATTTTACCTACTTCTAGTTACTGTTCAAGTGTTGTTATTTTCATAAGTCATTAAACATTTTAAGTCATCGCAAAATGAAACACTTCATCATTTATTATTTATTTTACAAAGTTAAAAAAGAGACGAATAAAATATCAAATGAGAATATTGTTTGTTCGATTGAACTTTTCATTTCTACATTTTTAATTATGTATTTGTTTTTCTTTTAAAACAAATCTTCAAATATACTTAAAGATAATTCATTAGCTACGATCATAGAATAAATTATGAACCCGACCGTTACTGCTACCTTGACGTGGTGATGATCGTGCTTGTCTATCGTGATGAACCAGTCGAGCTATACTGGTTGGATCAATCGTTCCTCAAGGTTTACCATGCCAGACAGGTTGATTGAAGAGGGCTAAGACTAAAAGCAACAAACCCATGGTGTGACGGCGGTAAGGTGTTTTCTTCAGACAACCAGTATAACAGCGATGTTGCAGCCGCACAAGAAAGACTGGAGTTAGAAGAGATCCACCGTAAAATTGCACCCCGCCTTATCCCACGGATTCCTGTCTCCAGTGGTGAGGTGCAAACAAGTACGGAGCTAACATGAAGATTACTCACAAAAGGATCGTGTGTGCCCGGCCTCAATCAGTTGTTCCATGGGCACTGGGGTCACGCTCTCAGATCACTAAGATCACCTCTGATTCAATTTCCTTTTCAGTTACCTCCTGACTGAATAGGTTATGAAATGTTGTTTGCTATTTGTTTTCCGCGGACACGTTTTCATTTCCTTGACTTAACCTTGTTATTTCTGTTAAAAGTCTTAAAGGACTACAATCTCTCTCCTCATGCTTGGACTGAATAACTGTCGAACACTATACACTTTTCATTCATCTTTTGACTGATTTGAATAATCTTTAAGCTACTTCGTCTTTTCATAACTGTTATACATTTCATCATCTATTCGTGTCATAGTTTTTACTCTATTGATTCTGACTATTATTATTATGATTTTGTCCGACTTTAGGATCCATTTGCATCATATGATGTGAACAGTAATGATGATAATCCAGAACCTCGTTATTTAACAAGAGATAAAAGTAATACCAAGTAAGTCTGTTGTAAATTTATTTCTATATATTTAATGCAATCGTAATTCTAATAATTTCTATACAAATTTCTTTCTAAAAAGTTTGTGGACGTTAGAGATGACTTTGTTTAGAAAAATCTAGTATAATAAAACCATTTAAATTCTGGTTACAGTATAGTATATTGACACCCTTGAGTTAACTAATCAGGATTACGATGAAGCTTCGTGTATTTTGAACGATATTCAAAGTGCAGTGATAGTTAACTTAGATGCTATTACAAGCGAATTCAATATTGGGAATGTTTCGTTCCTAAAATGTATGAAATCAACGGAAAGTGAATCTAAAATGGTTCTTAAACTAAATTACAAAACATGCCTGCTCCTAAAGCAGAACGTGTGGTAAAGTACTTGATGTGATTCAATATGTATTCATGAGTGCTTCGTTAGACTAGATAGTATTCCTCCATTCTACACCGTACTTTAAATTCCAATTACAAATTTCATAAGTGTTTAAAAAAAACTGACAAAAAATTTGCATTATAGCTTATGTAAGTTCGTGATGAAAACCTTAACCTTTATTTGTAGATCCACCTCAGGACTCCATTTTAACTCCTAATATCTAAACCTAAGCTTTTTGTGTTGTCGCTAGTGATAGTCGCTGACCAAAACTTTAAGGATTGGTAATTCTAACATACAACAGTATCACAACTATTAATATGCAAAACTTAACCCTTTTGTTTTACTGTAAAAAATAATTCGAAATATGATGGTTAAATATTGAGTTATTTTTCCACTGTTATAATATTAAGTTTTTACCACTAATTCTTTTGTAACAAGGTTCAGTTTCCTAATTGGCTGATAGATCCTTCAAGGTTATCAGTAGATTTTGATTTTGCCCCAATTCTATAAAGATATATGTATATCATAATTATTTTTCTCGTTTATAGAAATTCTGTATTATACAGAGATAAAATAATCTAAGCTTTTTCATAGATGTTTATCTGTGTAGGTTGCTTGTAAAATTGACAAATAATTTGTGAGGTAAATCACAGAAAAAAAATGATGGAATGAATATGATAATAACAACAATACTAGGAAAAAATTGAATGAGAAAGCTTGTAGGAGAAATAAGAATATAGTGTTAATAATTTAAAAGAAGGTAATATTTGTTTCAGTATCGATAATTTCTAGTTACCTAAACTATCTAATGATAATAAATCTCGAGATTAATTTTTCAAGCGTTAATAATATCTCTTTTACTTAACTAAAACCTATTTGTCTATAATTCAGTAAACTTGGTAAGTGTATTTTGTTTGTCCGTTAATTACGGTCTATTTGATTAAAATAACAGAGTTGGCATAAATTTGTTGTATAGTTTATCTGCAGAAAAAATTATTGTCAGTAGTCATTGTTCGTTGTTCGTATAAAACATCTTCATAGTTCTATTTGATTTATTATTAATGTTGAATTGTTTTCAACTCAGGATATCTATTATTAGCTTTCTCTTTTGTTTAAACTAATATTTTTCTGAATAAATTGTGTATGGTTTCACATTTAGTTAGAAGGTGATTTGTGTACTAGGGGAGCATACAGAGTAACGTGAGCGAGGATGGATGAAAAAGTGTGCCGACGACCTAGGTACCGCTTACTGTGCTTACATTTAGTGAGGGAAGCAACAGACAACAGTCGACAACAATACAAGTCTTAAATTACGACAATCTGAGAATTGAAACTAAAACATACAGTTTAAACCGCTTCACTCGTTACTGTTTGCCTTATTTTTAAATTAAAATATTGACTAAATTCAACGTATTTGTTGATGATTATTTTATTGTGCTATCATGCCTGTTTATGTATGGATTACCTATTTCGCCTCAATCATTGATTATTTAATTTAAGCATCACGTAATATTAGTAATATCTGTTTAACAATGCTTGTGATATTTCAATCTTTAGTAAGCTTTTTGGTTACAATAATTCTGTCCGAATTTTATTCAAAGTGAAATGAAATGGTTGAAAATTTCTTAGAGTAACAAGCTATGAAATAAATAAGCGTCAGGAATATGTGAATTTTATGGTATACTTGTTGATAGTTCAGCTACGTTTTTGCTATAACTACATATTCTTTCAGTCCAAACCGAGAATTAATGGGAGATTCTTAAGTAAACTGGATCTAATACGACTGGATCAATGGGAGGATTAATACATGACAACAACTCCACGGATACAATCTCACACAAATATAAATGGTGGTGACTGAATTTTTAGGAAAGCTTTAAGATTAGTCAATATTAGAAAAGTATGTAATATTTTACATCCTGTAATAACCAATAGGAATGAGTATATATTACCTGTCGGGGTCGCGTCACAGTGGTTTCAATATTAATGTGTGAAAGTGTATAAAAGTAACTGTTATTTTGGTGACTCCAGCGGGTTAGATTACTATTTATTTGCGTTAACTTAAACAATTTATTTTTAACAACTGATACACGTTCCATAAGATTGACCTCGAGTTCTCCTTGATTACAGTACTGAGTAGGGCAATGCGTCCGAAGGTCTGTTGGTTTAAAAGTTTATTCTAAGAAAGGCTAAACTTTATTTTAAAATCATAACCTTTCTAAAATTTTGAAGTGTTGAATAAAATATTCTTACCGTTACTTTGTATTGACACCCGAGTCTCATTTTTACTCATTTCTTTTACCAGTTGTCTTCAATCCCATATTATATAGCTAATGAACCGAATATATATATATTCGTTGTGTTGTGAAAATGTTTGCTCACCATTTTACTTGTCGTCACCACACTATTTCCATTTTCCTATGAAAACAATTTCTCTCTACCCATAGTTTGATGTTGCCATAAGTCTATTTATCGTAAAATATTCAAGCAATAAAATCAATGCAACATACTTTCTACCTACTTTTTTATTTCAGTTCAATGATTTTTTTCTTTCTAAATCGTTTTTATTTTGTATTCTCTTTATTTGCCTTTTTCGTTTACGATGACATTCATTTCTAATCATATAATATTATTTTTACAGGATTTTTGTTAGTATGCCATATACACTGATGATGATGGTAATCTGTGATAATGAAATTTAAATGTATTCCTATGTTTTCCAAATAAATAGTTGGGCTTTAAGAGAAATCCAATGTTTCATTAGTTCTTTAAACAAAGTTATCAGTTGGCCATATTTGAAGTTATGTCTTTTTTTTCCAAAAAGAACCTTCATTTGTGGTCGAAATTATAATGTCAATATTTACACACTAAATTGACTTACTAAGTCTATTAGAATTTACGATCTTGTCTGATGGAATTATCTGGAATTTATGATTAAATATTTTAGGGCGGCTTATCAACTTACCCTCTTTGTCAATCTCAGTTGAATAATCTATGGAAAGTAACTAATTCGTTTATATCTTATACACATTATTGGTACTCATCGCCTATCTAAACTAACGTTAGTAATTTTTCAATACGTAATGAACGTATTATCGAATTGAATTTCATCATCACAACTGAATTATTTTATTCACTTTACATGTAGTGTTTGTTATGCATTAGGATTCATTCTTTTGGTGAAACCGGTATGTTAAATAACTGTAACCGGTGAATTTCAAGTATATCTAGAATAAGATGTATCTCACTGATCTTAACAAAATATTAACAATTGATTGATGCTAGAAATATGGAGTATTAGACTATGAATTGTACATTTGAAGTTATCATAGATGCAGAGGACCTGAAGATCTTCAACCTAACCTTGTGTATTGAATCTGTCAGTGCATTTTTCTATGAAGTTCCTAATCGGAGCGGTCAACTTATCTATCAGTATACTGGTAATTGTAATATTCTCAGCAGTGGCAAAATCGCAGTCATAATTTTTACGATGTGGCTGCCATGATATCTGGGCATTACAGTGTAAAATAATTGATGGGTATCAGTAAAGAACCCTGAATTATTTTCTGTTCATCAATATTTTCTATGCTCAACCTCCAAAAGTCAAGCTTTTTTAATACAGAGATCTTGATCACCCACCACACCAGTTATGAACATTACTAGGTGATTATTCACTATGCGGTCAATATTTTTTATAAATTGGTCATTTGCACTATCTAATCACTTCTTTAAAATTTTATTTTGATCGGGTACCCGATGCTGATTGAATTTAATTGTATATTTAAGTAAAAGAAATTTACGATATCACTTTTTCCCATCGGATCGTTGGGGAAATCCTAAGAATATCCCTCTTTACACTTCCTAGAGGCCCAGAAATCCCGAGAAACGTTTTATCCAATCGGCATTGAGTCGAATCTTTGCGTGAACATTTAAAGAATGTAGAGTCACGTGCCACAGTTTTTATTGGATATTTATTCGTACTGATACTATATTTAGTATGGTTCCAGAAGATTAAGGTCATGTGTAACTGCATAAATACCATCGTTTATCTGTACATAAAAGCGTTCTCTCCGCACATTGAACCTTTTCTCTTGTGTTCAACTTGCCATTATGATTAAACCTGGATTTGCTAGAAGCAGCTAGGAAATCTAATCGAGCGTTCATTTAGCAAACATCGCGGATAAAGTCCTCTCTAATGAATATCTAATGCCGATGAAATCTGAATCCAGACCTTTTATATCTACATTGAATAACTTTAGTGATTTCCCTTTGATTTCCTCTTCCTTTGACCATTGTATTAAACAATTAACAGATATTACACAAAAATTTCCCAACTTTTAATCACTCATACTGATAAAGAATTATAAACGAGTCAACACATAAAATAAAATTGTGAATTCTTTTAAAATCTAAATTAAAATGATTTCGATTATTATAGGATATAATAGTTCTAAAAGATACTTGTTTATTCCACTACTTACGCATGGTTTTCAACAAAATGTGTTAGACATACACTTAATAGAAAATAAGGAAAAATCTAAAGACCAGAGAAGTGTGTAGAAGTAAATAAATGCTATGTATCGATGATGACGCACAAAGAAATGACCTTGGTTCTTTTCCATCAAATTTGTTTCTGTATAAATTTCTCCTTAAAATGTAGTATTTTTCGAATTAGTTTTTCTGTGCTACATGTTTGTTTATTTACATCCAGTGTGAACACAGAGAATGTCATGTTCAAACAACTGCTTATTCATTTTTTTTAAAACTTGTGTAAAATTGCATTTCATTACTATTGGTATTATTATTTCAACTCGCTCAATAAAGTAGACTAAGTACTGTCCGGTTCTAGAGTGTTTATGACTAGCTGATTGACCTCATTTGAAGTCATCTCGTCAAGGAAACTTATGCAATGTCTAAGTGACCTATCATAATTATCGAAAACTGTCTAATCTCAATTTTTCATTTTATTACTACTTTTAATGTAGACTGGAAGTCTTTGATTAAATTAATGATTTACTGTTTAATTTGTTATTTGTTGAGTCAACATTTCAATTCCTCTGCGTTATTCATTCAACTACCTTAGAGGTCATCAATTTTCGTTATAAAGTATAATTGATTTTAATTTAATGTAGATACTTGGTGGTTGGGCTTTTTTCTACTTAGAGATTTGTTTATTACTTTTTTTTACATATTCAATCAGTTTGAATATTAACTGCGCTTATAACTAATGATAGATTGGTTAGTATGAAGAATGAAACATAATGTATCTAACAATTAAGATAAATCTCTGCTGTGTATAAGCGAACAATGTAATTTTCACCAGTCTCTACTCTAATATATTATAATGTTTATATGAAAATATTAAACTAATCAAGCCAGTTTATGAGTCAGCGATAACGGTCGAATAGATTACATAAATAAACAATAAGTAAAAAGTACAAATTAATAGTGTGAGGAAAAGTGTACTAATTGTGATAAGAATAATAAATGCTTAGATCAGTGTTTTATAGTAGTAAGTAGGTCAAGGACTTGAAAACTATAGACACTGAAACAACATTCATTAGAAATTATAATCTTACGTAATAAGTGAGGTATTTGTTGGAGGTAGTAGACAAAATACCATAGACTTAGGTTTCGTGTTGTTTTACACTCGTCAGCAAGGTGTACCTGTACCTGCACTATGAAGGACTTGATACACATGACATTGGTCAATTCCCAGTAATCAGTCATTTTAAAATACATCTCAGTCCTACAAAAGATCAGTCGTGGCCTGGATAGCTCAGTTGCAACTTCTTTAACTGTGATGCTCTTTGACACGAGATCGAATCCGTTAGGGAGCATCGATCCCCTCAAGATTACAGGTACACCTTCCAGACAAGTGCTATATAGCACGAAACCTAGGTTTAGGGATTCCTGTCGACTTTCTCCGATCACCACCTTACATCTCAACATAATGCACGCGATGTCGGGTCACTCAGACTAGTGACTACATTGCAGCTTTATCGATAGGATACATTCGGTCTGCAGTATGAAGGACCTAATGCACGTGACATTGGTCACTAACACATTAGCTCAATTGTTTGGCTGTGCGCCCGATAGAGTTTTCTCGGCAGAAGCATCTGAATTCATAGATGCACGTGGATATGGAATAGCCGGCTAACTCAGCTTTTATCCGAAGAGTAACTGCAAGTCGGCTAGAAAACAAGCGATAGATGTTAGGTGCACAAGATCCCTTTTTTGCTGTATTATTCTATCTTGTAGCGCCTTCAGCTAGGTGAGTCCATTAAAACCAATGTGGTTAGCATCCAATAACGAAGACGTACAGAGCTATTTATTTTGGGGATTTATTTACCGCTACAACATCAAGTCAAAATAAATAGTGAATTTCCAAAGTCAAGCTTAATTTTAGATATATATTTTACCCCGCTATTTTCAATCGACTTTTTGTTACATTTCGTAATTAGTTTCGTTTTGCATTATCTGATCCTTGCAATATCAACACGTGTATGCAGATAGATGTTTTTTAATACACATTAACTTCGTGTTATTGCTTTGTTCTCGTTTAATACTCTGTTTATATTTCATTACATTTTACAGCTGTTTTATGTAACATTTATCGTTACCTATACATATAACGTGTCTTGTGATTTAATTAACAAATGTATTTATCTACGTGTTTTCATGATGAGAGCATTGCAACAATAGAAAAAAGTTACATAGTTTTAAACATGAATTATTAATTAGCCAATTCACATTTAACATACAGATCACTTCAGTTTATGTAACTTATTTTCATTTTAATATTGAAACAACAACTATGTCAAATTGTCTGACTATTTGAAATATTGAAATTTATTAGTTTATGTTTAATTAAACTAGAAGATGACTATATGTGAAGATGATTTGTGAAATGTTATCTTTAAAAGTTTACAATGATAATATATTTATTGCATTTAATCATTTTTAAAGAGTTGATTGAGTAATCATACCTTGATACTAGACGTTTACATTGAATGGTGAATATGATTGTAAGTATATCAATTGAACTGGAAATATGTATTTTGTCAAAGATATGTAAACGAAGCAGTTGAATTACAATAGAATTTACATATACTAGTTCAAATTAATAGATTTGTGAATTTTCAATCAAAAATGCATTTTTTATTAACTGTAGGATTGTTTGTAAATGTTGAAATGAGAAATCGTCATTTGTAAGATATTGTGAAAGTTCTTAAATTTTATAATCGGTTTCTATTGTTTCATCTACCATATACTTTGTTTAAAGGGAAGAAACATACTGTTACGATTTTCTATCGAGTGCCTTCAGGAATTTAGCAAATAATAGTTTGTGGAAAACTGTTTAGAAACAATGTATAGCGCTGGCTCTACTTAACTAGTCTTTATTTCTTAAGTTCGAAACTAGCTGCTCACCCCCAAGGAGCTACAAGCATTGATGAAATAGCTTTTCGGTACTCTTTGAGTTTTCAGTTAGTGAACTAAGGTTATTGTGTGAACTATACTTGGATTGAACAATCTTCACGATGATGTTTACTCATTTAGAGCCTTTTGTCGAATAACTTAAGTTTATCCCTATATAATTTTATTCATATATACGTATGTTTACAAATAATGTTATTGATTTGTTTTATAAAGGTCACTTGTGCGGTAGTTCTTTATGTATTTGTGTATATACGGTGTACATTAAATTACAAGCATCAACTTTTTCGACTGCACATAATATGGAGAATTATACTGTCCCAGTCTGAAATATAAGGTCTATTTAGAGTAAAATTAACATTTTTATAAGGTGGTGGTCTTCATCATGTACAAAATAACATACTTGATTGATTCAGACACTACTGACTTATTTAGGTTTGTTTGAATTTATACGTTAAGAAATGTAATAGCTACTTTCAACGCAATTTATGCCTCATATTGTTCATGTCTGAAAGCCGAAAAAAATTTGAGATTACGTCCACAAATAAAATTTGCCACATCATATACTAGAATTCTTTTTTTTTCGTCTTTTATGCTTGTAATTAGTTCGAAAACTATCCATTAATCTTTCTCAACTTTGGAGCTAAAATTCATAGGCGAATAATCACATGTTTTCACCGATTTTGTGTTTGTTTGTTTTATTTTCGTCTTGAACTATAACCATTGTGCGTAGTTAATGTTACATATTTCTAATGCACTCCGCGGATAAACGTTTATACAGGTACAATTCAGTGTTTACAGTAATTAAAATATAACAAACCACTATTTTAGTAAATCCAGATTATGAAATAAAACATGAAATTGATCTAATACTGCTTTCATTTTCGTTATTGTCTCAAAATAACTCATGCACAGGAGACTTAACAGATTACCAAAGGAGTATCAGAAGAGTTTCAGATAAATCATAGTCTTTTTGGTGCTTTTTTGTCACTCTTTCCTCTCAGCATTAAGCATGTAATCTTTTTCACTTCGCAAGTCAGTATAAGTTAGTCTTTTCTATCTATGGTGAAATTTATCGTACACTAATGAATCGATTTCTGAGATAACTGTAAAAATGTTGCATAATTTGTTGTTACCTTCATATGATGAAATGTATCTCTGTGATTTGAAATAAGTTGTATTGTGCCTAATCAGTAATCAATCTGCGTACAGTCAACAACACTAAATAATCTTTTATATTGATAATGTTGTTTAGATAGTCACCTTTCTTTTAGATATTTGTTTATCACCTGTTTCCATTTCTCCAATAGCTTTTAACGGTTTATTGATATGTTCTACTGACTATAAAAATAATTGAAGCATGCCTATTAACTATTTGATACATCTTTTTCGAAACGTAAGGACGATTAACACAGATTACGAGTATGGATTGGAAGTAGATTATGTGAATCATTCTTTTTTTCCAAGTTGAGTTGCTTGATTTATGAATGGAGAAAATTTTAAAGTAAATGAAAGATTCTAAATAAATTTTTCTTGACCAATAGCATTTTTTCTACTTCGAGTAATAGTAAATTAATGTTTAGCATTTTTTCGTTAAACAAAGAGGGAAAGTCTCAATCAGTTGATCGAACTTTTCATCTGACTATAATCCAACTGTAGAATTTTCTTTTTTCAATCACATCGGCAAAAAGAAATACCATTGTAATTGTTGCTCGTATTTCCTTATTGAATAACAAACAAGTCAGATAAACACTTCTTACATAATCAATGTTTCTTATTTTCTATTACTTCAGCCGTCATGGTACTCGTTGCGCTGGTGAAGTGGCTGCTGCCGCAAATAATAGTGTATGTGGATTGGGTATAGCTTATAAAGCTCGTATAGGTGGCGTACGTATGTTAGATGGTGATGTGACTGACGCAATGGAGTCACGTTCATTAAGTCATCAGCTACAACATATTGATGTATATTCTGCATCATGGGGTCCGGAAGATGACGGTAAAACAGTTGATGGTCCAGGCAAACTTGCTCAAATGGCATTTCGTAATGGAATACAAATGGTAAGTAGTTTGAATGCTGTTTTGTTTGTAATTTAATTTGTAAATAACTGTTTACTCAGTTAGATTAAACACTACACATTTCCACTTGTTTTTTTTAAGAAAACATTAGATCATAGTCAACATTATCATTCTTTTTTGAAGATAACATCATGTTGGAAGTTTTCTATTCTTAATAAATATCAAAGCTATTTAGTTTTTTTGTTTTATCCATCTCTAATAGCTTCATATTAGTAATATGTTTGTTGTGGATTAAAAATTAGTTTTGTATTTTGCAGTTAACACTATGGAACATGATCAATATATTTTAACAATTACATGGACTTTTACAGTACCACTTTTATATTGTCTTATTCTGTCGATTATTTATCCAAATACCAATATATAATTACATGATTAGTGAAATTATGACAACGGTTTCATACTTCGGAGTTATCGATTGATCATATGCGTAAAAATATTAAGTGAGAAATGATACGATGAAATCAGTTACATTAATGTTCGGTATCCTACAGATTTAGTGGACATATTAATTGTAAGAACATTCTCTAAAGATCAATGTAATGATATATGAAGTTTGTTAAAATCAGCAAGTAGTATATATGTATAAGTATAAACTACAGTGGCTTTGTTAAAAGTTAAAACTAAAACAATATATGATTATTTCGTACCGTTCAGTTCTGTAGCACTTAAAAATGAAATACATCTTTTTTTGTTCAGGACCCATCAACCTTTTGGTTATTGAATGATTTTGATAGTTAGAAATTAACTAGACACTGATATAAAGTACCATTTATTACTGCTTCTGAAATAAACCTGCAACTCATCCGATTTTGACCAATCATGCATAAATGGTTTTGTTTACTATTAATATCTCTATGGGCATCTGAAATTTCACAAGTTTACTTCAGACTATTATTCTTCATACTAGTTTTAACCCAACTCATGAGATTGGTTATCTCATTACTTAATGAACTACAATATTTCGTGTTAGTGTATCTAAAAGTCAACAATAAATTTTAGAGTTTTTTATTGATTATCAATAAAAATATGATATCTATTTTTGAGATCTTATTTCCCAAATAATTGAGTTCCATAAAGCGATGAAATATCTAGAATATACATTTATTTCGTCTAAATTATTTGTTGTCAACTGTTTTTAAGTATGTATTGAATTAACTTTTTATGTTTACAGGGTCGACGTGGTTTGGGATCAATTTTTGTATGGGCCAGTGGGAATGGTGGTACAAGTCATGATAACTGCAATTGTGATGGGTATACAAATAGCATTTATACACTAGGTGTTGGATCAGTTTCAGAGCACGGATCTGTTCCATGGTATGCAGAATTATGCTCTTCAACGTTAGCTGTTACCTATAGCAGTGGAGGACGTGGTGAACGTGGTGTTGTAAGTTTTCATGATCATTTTCACTTGAGAAAAACGCTTAGCTTCAATTTGATATTATATAATTCGTTTGTTTTTTAAGTGTAACTTTTTAAATGACACAATCCACTAACATTTGATGTAGTCTGTTTTAATGAATCATCTATTTATGTTTGTCATTCAGTCATTGATCACCACAATTAGAATTGTACAGAAGATCATGGTAAAATTTATGTTTTCAAACAAACGAATAGTGTTTACAACTTGTACAGGATCAAAACAATCTTAATGATATAACAGTGAGAGTAAACGTTTGACATAATGAACAATCTATTTATTTATGAATTCATGTTCTTGCAGTTTTAATGTGTTTTATGAAGAGAAAGGTTTGCTACGTCATTCATTTAGTCAGTCCTCATATAATCTATGTTGAGTTGTATGAAAGTTCTAATTTCGATATCAGTACCTTTAAGTTTATGGAAAGTGTTTTGAAGCCTATAATTTAATATTATAATTTGTTAACTTTAGCGTTGAATGTTCTTTGAAGGTACTTTTCAAGGCTCTTTTTCAATTTGATAAGTGTAAGAAATAAAAAGAAAACACCGAAAAACTGTTCCCTCTTGGTTTCATCTATTCCGTTTTAACGAAACATTGCAGCATGTGCAGGAAATACAGTCAAGATTAAGATAAAATAATCACTTTTAATTGAAGGATGGTTTCACTATGGGATTAATGGTCTGTTTAAAGTAGATTGTCGTCAGAACTGAAATCCAGTATTCACATTTCGTCCTATTTAGGACTAGTAATACGAGAATGCCTTCATTTAATGTTGACATCCTTTTTGAGACTCTAACTTGTTACCTTTCCCTTCGAACGCTCAAAGCTTTATCTGTCGATTGAGCTATTGATTCTAGATATATTCTATATTTTTCAACAGGTTTGACAATTATGTCATTCATAGTAAGGGTTTTTACTGTCTCGTTATTCCGGACTGAATTTTGATCACTTTATTGGCATATATGCATCATGTGTATATCCTGTGATATAGTTATTGAATTACAGATTATTCAAAATTCTATTCATGTTTGAAAAAACCAGAAATTTGTTTCGTGACCCAGTTGTTGAAATGCAACAAGTATGTTTCAAATTCAAATAAACATCCTATAGTATAGGGTTGTGGAGATTGCTGAGTCTTGATTGAGGTCATGAATCGATCAATGTTAGGCCACCATTTAAAACCTCGAAGCCCGGTACTGCCGTTTCTTATTAGTATGGTACTCCTCAGCAGCGCGCACCCACGCTCCCGCACGCAGTATTCTAACCCAGGTTCCTAGGTCTCGCGTGCGAATGCAGTTGCTCACTGAAGACAGTTGAAGATGGTCGTGCAATATCGTGCATTCGTCGATGTTAGACATCTGTTGGACGCCGGCTCAGTGGCCTAGAGGTTAAACGTTCGTGCTGGAAACCATAGGTCCTGGGTTCGAATACTGCGCACAGGATCATGGATGTGCACTGTTGAGGTGTACCATACTAATACGAAACGGAGATCAAGTGCTCTCAGGTTTTCAATGATGATCTAACGTTGATCGATTCACGTTCTCACTCAAAACATTCTACAATTTATCGTATACATCAAATTTACTAAAGGGAGTAGTAAATCAAAGTAATGAACTTGTTTAGTGCTTTTTTTCCGTTGACACTATGAATTCTGCTATGTTTTCATTGAAAAGCTTTTAGAATCTGTTGCGAAACATACAAACGGATCACAGTAATAAGAAATTCATCCAACTGATTGACCAAGTTCAGATCAACATAAGTTCCGTAGAACCAATCAAGAATATATTTATTTGAATCTAAATTAGGATAAAATATTGAATAAAGTCTTTTTGTTATGGGAAAAGGAAAAAAAATACACTAACATAGTAGCCAAAAGCGATTGTTTAACCAAACAATATGCAAAATATCATTATTAGTAATTGAACTATAGTTCTTTTCTGAAAATGATTATAATATTTCAATATAATTCTCAATTCCCTTATTCAGATTTCTAGTCAGGAAGAATTTTGTTTCTTTGTGTACTTTTCATTTTCCATTTCAACTAGAAGAAATTGAGTGAGTGTTTATGTATATGAATAGACAATAGATTTTTGTTCGCTTTCAATTTCCTGAAAAGTTGTTTTGGTATTTTGAAATTGTTGGATATAAGGAAGCCCTAAATATCTCGTTCTCTAGATATGTAACATTGGCTATTTTTAACTTTAAAGGATTTTCGCTTCCTGTTTGTCGGTGTTGTAACATGACATGAGTATAGCAATGTTGCTTGTTTTATTTCATGTAAAAAAGTAGTAGATTTTCACCTGATTTCTTTCGAATTCATTCCAAAAATACTACTTCCTTCTGAGTTCATGCAAATCTCTGTCTAGTAATATTCTGCTTTTAAAAAAGACGCTACAATTATGGTAAGGCCATCTCCACTGATGTTATTGAATTATACCCTCTATATGTTTATTATTGACTGAAGTCGGGAAGACATACTTTTGGATTACAAATCACTTATCTAAAAGCGTAACATGCTCCCTGGGAAACCTGAAAGACATAACTTCCATCTCTGGTTGGCTCATAAGTACAAACTGTTAATAAGTCACATAAGAAAGCACAATCACTCTACAGCGCTCTAGCACTTTTTAATGGTGTTCTAACTAGTATCAATCATTAACTAGTTCCACTTACTTATTGCTTTTCAAAAAGTTCTTTTTTATAAGGAAACAGTTTTTCGTAGTTAATACTAAGAGGTATTTGTAGATAATACCATCATCCATTGTTATCATTGATTCATAAACTACCTTGATCGGTTTAATAATTTCGTATATACATATAAATATTACTGTATATTGGAGTAAAGCCTGATGAAGATCTAATCGAAAAAAATATTGTTCGCTTATATATACATATTGTTCTAAATGGTACATATCTCAAATATCCTCGGATTTTCGATTCCACATATTTAAAACAATCTTTTAGCCAGTTTTCGTTGAAATCTTTGATCGGTGTGACAATCGATCTGTCATTCATTATAAAGAGGTTTTGATGTATGAAAGAAAAAATACATCTATGAACAGGTCTCTTTTCAAATTGACTAATATTACGCTAATTATTTGTTTTATTTGATCCCTGATTATTTTGTATCGCCGTTTTGCCTAAATTGTTTATTACTGATCTGTAAATAACACCTTATTTTATCTATAAAATGTCTATCTTGTTTTGTTTTTTTTACATTGTTTATCAAAAGTTCAAAATAATGGATAATCCATACTGCTAATACAGTAATCGATATGAATAAATAAAACTTGTTTTCTCCAAGATACAGTAACTTGAAAGCCAATAAATATTTAAACATAAATATGAGTATATACAACTTGATAATCACGTGTAGATTTTTAGACTAAGCTTCGTTTGATTCATCTTTTAGAAAGCAATGGTGATACTCAATTGACCACAGCATAAAATATACAGTGTATATATTTATTTGATTAGACTATTTTAATAACAAAGTTAGAATTACTAGGTCATTCGTATCACAAAGCACTGGTTTAACGATATCCTTTCCATATCTTTATTTATTTAAACACATAAACATTGGTACAAAGAGACACCAGATATATATGCGCCACACCAATCATTCGGTTTGTGTGAGAGCTGGATACTGTCCGGATGTTCAAACCGAAGCAGGTGGTTTCCTTAGGGGGCCACACACCGAGCGTTTGAAGTAGAGTTCAAATCCACAAGTCAGTGGATCAACGTTAGGTGATGCAGTCCCATGGTAACCGGTGAATAACAATAGGTTCACACTCTGTTTGTTCCTTCAGGATACTGGAACCCATGTACACCAATGGTTTGGAATCAAGGTTTTCCAACTCCCCTAGGTGGACTCTCCATGTCCACTTATCCAGTTAAAGCGCCGGACGTTCGCTTTTCGTTCTCTCAGTTTCGTAAACAACAGTAGTGACGCGAGAAGGTAGTGAGTAGGACTTCTCTGGCAATGTTTGTATGCAAGTGGCCATGTGAGAGCATTTCGAGAGGGAGAGTGGACTCTCCCCACCCTCAGCGAAATCAAAAACCTTAGTGTGAGTACAAGAATTATGTTAAAAATAAAACGCTTTAGTTCTTATCATTATAGTTCATATATGAGGTCTAGTGTTAGATAGAAAAAAAAACATTGAGAGGTGAGAACCTGAATTTTAATAAACCGAATAAAAGTTCGATGTGCATATTCTAGAAGCCTACTGTGGACATGATAAATTCAAGCGCTTCTTTTATCTGGGACAAATGACCATCGAAAATTCCTTTTATCTTTAGAGTCATCATGTAATACGTAATCTCACTCCCATTTCAAAATGCTTTTCATGGTATTCATTCTGTCTTGGCTCTTACTTAGGTCTGCTGTAACCGTTCTGATTAGAGACAGTGGCTGGTATTCTTTACTAGAACATTGAGAAATATTCCTATCTGTAATAAAATGCTAATAAGTTATAGGGTCTTTTTTAAGAACATTTTATTTTTATAAGGTTGCTTGTTATGTAAGAAATTATCATTCTGATTAACCATTCTATTTAATAGTAAGATCTAAATTCAAATTCATTAATTTGATATCTTTCAACACTTTAAGTTACTCAAGAAGTAAATATCAAAGTATCTCTATCTGATATCTAATGTAGACAAATGAGAAGGTTAGTGGATCCCAATCATAAGTGAACTGAAGGACAATTGAATTTCATTGGCTCAAAAATAGATTGATTTCTTAAGAGGTAGAGTTGTACATATATATAAATGAGTATTTGTGCATTTGATTTGGTAGCCCAATATACTCGCTGTTGTGTTATCGCCCAAGTAGTTAGTTGGGAGTTAGCGCTTAGCATGTCGTTTATCAGTATCAGATTTTGGACACTGTCCGTCATAACATTTAGATAGTGTTTTTTCGCATACTAACTGTATTTAAAGCTACTATGGAAAATATAAGTGATCGTCTTAAATTCATACTTCAACGTACTCATTTATTCGTTTTTTCTGCAATGATTTTTATGGTACCGTGATAACCTAATTAGAAATCGACAGTATAGACTTATATTTATTCATAAAATATATTTTTATAAATTTTCCTTCTATTTTCTTCATTTTTTGTTGGGATAAAAACACAAATTAGAACAGACAATGGAGAAATTTGGCGGCAAGTTTTGGAATTTTATTTTGTTTAAACATTTTGTTTGTGTGTGTATGTTTCATTGGCCCTATTGCGTTAAACCTTTGATATGTTTGTTTCTCACTGAATAATAAACTAATCTATCAAGTTTCTGTTATATATACATGTTTTGTTTGTGTTTCAAAGAAGTGTATTTTGTATATTGGTTTGTTGAGTTAATTAAATTTATCTCACTTCAATAACAACAAATCCTGGGCATCTTTTGTTTATGTTCGTGCACATAATTTTCTGTGTGTTTTGAGTGTTTTTTTTTACGTTTACTGATGAGAAATTAATTTTTATTCGATTTATGCCTCGTTTTTATTTTGTGGGGATTTTATGTATCGGTATTTACGTACAATGTTACTATGGCTTCTGTTTTTTGGTGTATACTGAAGATCTTAAAGTGTTTTTTATTTGTGTATATTACTTTATTTAATCGGATAATTTTTATAAAATATTTAAAGAAAGTGTTGTTCTTGTGTGAACTTTTCATTTGTCTGAAGACGAGAATACCTGTATTTCTAACCAATTAAACAAGAACTTAAATGAGTAAACTTAATGGTTTTGAGTTCAAGTGCTCTCAGTGAATATTGACGGTCATATGTTTTATTTTTAGTGGAGTTATGGATGTTTACCGCTGAGAAGTCCCATACCTTTTTTATACAGCTGTTTAATGATCCTTGGTTCTCAGTTGTTCTGTAGTCAAGTTCGTTAATATAAACCACAGATCAAATAATATTTAGGAAAACTCATATATTCAGACTAAAGTGATTAATCTCATACTAATGTGGTTTATTGGATCAGTGAGCTACACATTTATTTGACACTTGTTTCCATTCAGAGACAAAGTTAAACTAATTTAAATTTCCAACACAACCGAAAATATGTAGTCCTGTGAAAAGTACAACATACTTTGATGTTCTAATGGGACGAGATTGATAGTTTCTTTATGTTATTATGGAATGCTTTAGAAAAACTAATATTTCTAGGGTATATCAACTAGTTTCTTTCCACAGGTGATCAATAAAATTGATTAACAAGCTTTTACTTCGCAGAGTGGGTTGATCGTAAAATTTATATAGGTTTGCTTTTCCATAAAGTCTTCATTCTGAAATAAATATAGAACATGCTATTCCAATAGCTATCTTCAATTATAAAGTCAGCTGACAGTGGACTTTGCCTTTCATAGTAGATTATCAAATATTTCAAAAAGGATTACAATAATCTAAAACTGCTCAAAAGATTATGCAATCGTTGTTGGAGTTGTCTAAAACTTTTGAATCTTTCAAAGCCTAATTTATGATGCTATTGACGCTTTAGTTGAGGTAATCAGTTAAAAATACAAACTGTGTGGTCTGTTTGATTACTAAGGGGTACGTTTCCTTTCGATTTGGTCCATCGTTTTTATCCCCTTCAAAGTAGTGTCCCTTTCTGGTTAGTAATTTGTCGAATCTTCATTTTCATTGTTTAAAAGATTCTTGGAAATTCTCAGAAGTCTATCTCGTCAGCTGCTTTGTTTCACGATTTTGTAGAATTACGTGCACTGACAATTTTCACAGGATACCACACTTATTCTATGTTTTCATCACCACAAGTGGTCGACATTTTTTCTATTGCTGAATCATCCTTACAGTCTGTACGGTTGTCAATGAAACGTTTGATCCACTCTCACTCAAAGGAAGTAGACAGTCTCTTACCCTTAACATCCACCACAGATATCGAATTTAATTCCTGTTCTATATTTAATGATATTAAAGTGTAGGCCGTCTAGATACATAGTAAGGTCTCTGGAATCATCATTTATCTGTCTGCAGTCCCCCATCACTGTCTCAAATGCCCTACTTTCCACCTTTAAATAGTCTGTCAAGCCTCTACGGGAAGATCTTCTTTTACCTCAGTATAACCTTTGGATGATGATAAAAATTCACAACATTTAATTACACTAGCATTTACATCAACTCGCCTTTTCATCTGCGTAAACTTAATTTATTCGAATGGCAATACCTCTAACTCTCTAATGACGTTTGGGTAATCGATAGGATCTTTATTTAATCATTTAAGAATACGTTCAGGAAGTTTAAAAAGCGATTTATCAAACTAACTACCGAATTCAATCTACTCCATTCTTATTAAGGAAAACTTTAGGGATACCAGTGCTAACATTATAAACATTATCCTGACTCACTGAGGTTGGGTGTATTCATCCACTTGTCGTAACAGCCCCGGTATTCGGTTTAATAATATCCAAATCTAGCAAAATAGTTAATTTTGTATCTGGAAGTGTAATTATTTGCCCCAATACTGAAACTGTGGTCGTTAATTAGCCTAAACTTAGGTTTAAATGTGCAATATAAATCACACATTATGGAGATCATATAATTTACCAACAAGCCATTTTTTCTACTTATGATAGCCATCTAATTGTTGTGTATTTGTTAGAAAAGTAGTTTCTCTTAAATTTTAAGCACATCTTTCCTTAATCATATATATACTATTCTGTAACATTATGTTACATATGTTTCTTTATTCTGGTAATCAATTTTTTCGCTTGTTATTATTACTCAATATTAAAACATTACATGTAGTACTTATTTCCGTCTCTTGGAAAGAATTGATGTCGTATACATTTTTAATGTGAAAAAATCTCAATGACAACTGTGGTTGGAAGAAGTGACTTACTGAAATAATCTATTTTTTATAACCTACAAAAAGCTATCTGTTATGTTATGAATTGACAATTTACTTACTTATCCGTATATCCAATACAATTTGATGTTTCTTACTAAAACTATTGACAGTGTACTTTCTTGTCTTTTTCTCTTCAGGTTTCTACTTCTCCTTTTACCTATTTTGACCACTGAAAGTTTGCTAGTGATCTTCTAACGTCTTTTCTGTTTCTGTTGTTTTTCACTTTTCATCGGTATTTTAATTGTACTTCTGTGGTGTTTTTTAGTGTTAATAACTGCTACTTTCTAATAAAGTATCATTTACTTTGTAAGGTGCCCTTTCAATGAACTGATATATGTTGGATAACTAAATAAAACTGTGAATTATTGGTTTACTTTTCCTCTCTAGTTTTGTAACTTCTCAATAGTTCTTACACACGATCCTTCATTTGTATGATCTTATGACGAGTTTGTCATTCATTAATCAATTTATTGGAATTTTTGCAGTAAATCAGCCAACCAGTGGTTTCGGATTTTTAATAATTTTTGACGAAAACTACTTATAACTTGCTTTCACGAAAAGTTACTTATAATCAAATGGATGAACAATACTCCATATCTGTCTTCATTATTATCATATTTATTATAAGGCAATTTGTCGTAAATAATTTGAGTATTTAATATACACAGAATGAGGGATCCATTTTTTGTTACTGATGTTTATGCAAATGAAAGAAAGCGTTTATAGGAAAAGAATTTTTAGCTGCCATTGTCATTTTGGTTTGCTTTTTAAACTTGAAATACCCGGTTGTTCTCTTCACTTTTCACAAGTGTTTACTAAATTGATCTTAACTTAGATTACAGCTAACTATTATCATGAAGAATACGCTTTAATTCTTTAAGGGATTTTTTCAACGTATTTTCATTCTGTAGTCATTCGAATTAAATTAATTACATAAATCTGTTTCTTCATTTATTTGTTTATTTTGTTTTGTTTCTTCTCATTTCTGAATAATAGATTACAACAGATTTAAATCACACTTGTACTGATAATCATTCTGGTACATCGGCCAGTGCACCATTAGCTGCTGGTATATGCGCTCTCACCTTGTCAGCCAATCCTAATTTAACTTGGAGAGATTTACAATATTTAGTTGTTTATACAGCACGTCCAGATGGTTTATATGCAGATGATTGGCATGTGAATGGTGTTGGTCGACGTGTATCACATGCATTCGGGTAAATATTTTCTTTCAATTTCGATTTTCTCGATGATTAACTCGATTCGAAATTCTCTTTGTTTTATAGACTTTTTATTATTACTACTTTATCATCAGTAGTGATTGCTTTCTTTTAGCAATATTATATTGGCCAGTAATTTGAATCTATCTACTTCTAAAAAGAATCTATTTCAAATTGATTAGCTCAATGGTAATACCTTTCAATGCGGTCGTATTCTAATTAGGCAGAAAATATTAAAAATTGGCAAAACAGTGTATTTTCCTTAATTGCGCTTAGAAATTTATGTAGGGAAGGAAATTATGATAACATTAGGAGTATACTGTAGGTATATAACGAAAATAGACTTAGGTAACTCGGAAAAGCATAAATAAAGTAGGGTGTTCACTTACAATAGGACGTACGTATATAATTATCTATTAGTAAACCAATATACATCATTAGGTGACTTGACTTCTCAATTTGGTAAGTTAAATTGAAAACAAATTATTAATAGCAACTTAGATTACTCACAACTACCAATAGATAACTAAGTTTCCTCTGACTAAAAGCGATACAAGTTATTTTCTTGAACATCGAAGACTGGAAAATGTAAATTTCTTGCCGTCTAAAAACAGATAACTTGTACTGACAGAATATTTCACCTTTATTGACTGCTTTTACACTGTTAGCTGGTCAGAATTGGTCAAATTCTTACTACTGTTTTGACCAATCAACTATATGTCGTAAGGTCAAAATGTCGCAGTTAAATAATATTTTCTAATGAGTTACACACTTGACCCCTTACCTAACACTAGGAATGCCTAAAATATTTCTAGAGTTTATTCATAATTCCTAAATAATAATCTTTCAATTTTAAAACCTTATTTTATTTTTGAACATTCATTTTTTTGTTTAACCCGGCACGTTATAAGTAATAATTCCCATGAATATTTTTCAGTAATATTCGAGATTTTAACCAGCAATATAGACTAGACTTCAACTGATATTATTTTCTATAATAATTCAATATTATTCTTTTACTTAAACGTCTGTAGATCTAAATGCACGATTTGTTTATTAATCTTGGGGATTGTATATTACAGTTTCCTGTAGTTATTATTGAATAGCTAACAGGATGATATTCTTCCATGTCACAACAACCATTAAATATAAAATTTTATTATATAATCATTCCTTGCCACAATATCAAATATGACAAATATGCACTGTATCTTTTTGCATTCTGTATGTGTATGTCTACATTCATTCATTAACAAGACATCTTCTATATGGATTCTCCTAGAGTTTTTTTTTCTTATGTAAGGTGGTACAGCTAACAATGAAAACTACAGAAAAATAGATAAACACAAAACTGCAGATTACAAATAAAAAATAATTGTTACTAAGATAAAGCTAAAAAATAATTTTTCAAATTCAGTTCATGGAATGCTATTTTGATTTAGAGTGAAGATTATCATTTATTCATTTTTTATCATATGTACTATCATAGTTTCAGTTTTAATGATGAGGTAGGTTGTGTTGATTTTTTCTTTTGGGCTCACCAGTTTGTAAGCTTATCCAACTCCAATTATTCTAGATCTTATTTTAATATATTTTCTAGACCCAACCCATTGTGTAATCAGATTAAATTGACATTGCGATCTTAAAATTCGATTGAGAAAAGATACATTCCAGACAAATGAACCCAATAGACCACATGTTTAGACTACACAGGTTGAGGGACTGTGAATTGGATGCTGTTGATTGATGTAGTGATCAACTGTTGTATAATTTGTTGTGGTAATTCATGTAACTCAAGAAATAATATGGTCATAAAGACACAGAAGCAGTCACACCTATATATAAGAGTGGATATAGGTAAAGGTTATTAATTAGTCAAATGCTAAATATTTAATAAGATTAAAATGACACTAACCACTTGTTATTCGACTTTATACAAATTCAAAAAACAATAAGCCTGAGTGATTATATGATCTAGGTGAATAATATGAGACTGCAAAACCTTGAAAAGTTTGTTTCATCACTACGAATCAAATACATTTTCCTACCAAATACAAAAATAAAATGTTTTACCAGGCTAAGAGAAAAAGGAATTTGGTTTTCCTTGTTAATAGGGGGGTCTTTTTATTTAAAAGATTATTTAAATATCTATGGCTTTCACTTAAAATCCTCTATTGGCTGAGATTGTGAAGTTCATGGTGTTGTTTCTCCTAATTTCTATGCAATGTTATTTTCCACTGAAGTGTATACATTTTCCGATAAAACATCTTTTCAATATACATATATGTGATTGTAACATCAGCCAAAGCTCAAACAGAATAGCTCGAGATAAACCAATTCACTGTGTTGCGATTCTTTCGTACTTTGTAAGAGTGAACCAATAAATGATATGATATAACAAGAGAAAACAATTGTACCAGAACAGGGTTTGTTATTGGAGAAATAGGACAGCGGAAATAATGTACGGACTTAAATTTATGACACTAATTTTCACTTTATTGTAAACCTCTTCTAGAGAGCTTATGGTGTATGATATGACTGTAGACATCAACGCCTCATGCTTGTAAGAAGGTTTTGCCATAATTCATAACAAACGCTAGTTGAATACCATGGAAAATCAAGTTTCACATAGCAGAAAGTAAATTTGCCTTTATTTAAATTGATTTAGATGATATCAATTAACAACATTTTCATAAGATTTTAATCACTTCAGTTGGTTTCTATTTTAATATACTCTAGGCAAATTGACTCTGTCATTTATTTGTTACATTCTGTTATGAAAATAGTTTTTATTATAGTTGTGTATGTTTACTCGTGTTTGTTTGCATGCATCTTCAAATTTCTATGTTATTCACAGTATTGTTTAAATATTTGGTCATATAATTCTTCGTTTTCTTTCTCTCGGTTGTCATTTTTTATTATTTCTGTCCTTTTTTGTTCCCTATTGTTTATCTCTTTATTATCAAAATTATTACATACATTTTTTCTTGTACTGATTTATCTCTGATTTGTTTGGTTTCATTTCTTTCATGTAAAAAAAGGAAATAATCATGTTTATGTATTATGTAACTTATCACATTATATAAATATATGAATTATAATTTCTATTTCTGGATAAACGAATAGATATCAATAGTAATGTTGCAAATGTATTCGATATTACCAATATGTCTCTCCTTAAATCTTTACTTATACATGTATACTAAACAATGTAATATATATGGAACCGCCAATTCATCACTAACAGTGTTCACTCACATCGCAATAAAGGAATATAATATCGATAGACTATTTAGTTGAAATTGAATACCTTATATTTTTGACTTTAGTATATCTACGTTATATTGCATACGATATCCAATTTTGTCAGCGAGTTATTCGTTGAATTGGTTAACTCTACTGATTCTTCTAACTAGAATTTCGGGACATTCATAATAATCAACACAAGTGGACAAACAAATAATAGTAAACCATCACAGAACTGGATAACCTATTCACTTCAGTAGTTAGAATTAACATTTCTTATATTTAAATATAAATGGGAGAATAGAATAATGGAGTTTTATGAAGTATGAAACTACATGATAAAATATATAATTAAATGTATGTTGACTCCAATAAATCATTCGCAAGGGGTTCATATTACCCCGTTACTTATAGTTATGACTAAATTTTGACCAGTTTTTGTTGACATATGTGTATCTTTAGTTGATTGTCTGTATATGAAATATCTGCCATGAACTCGACCTTCGGGGATCATTGGCTTAATGAAAAACGAACTTGCTTCTGAAGTGATAGATACTAGGCTGGATTCTCGGAATGAATATCAACACTTGGATATAGGATAAGTACAGGTACTAAATCCCGAATCGGTCGAAATTTACTTCTTGAACTCCTTTGCTACGACCTTAACTACGACCTAAATATGTACTGAATTAAGTTAACGCTAATTTTCAGTTTATAACTTTGCAGACACCTTATGTTTTGCGAAAATCTATTGTGTAATATATCAATAGAATGAATACTGTTGATTTTCCCCATTACTTTTTTTTGGTTGTGTCACAATTGTCTTGTCATTAGACATGTTATAAATGGTAATTCTTCTATGCTATCTTGCTTGTTTCTTCACTAACTATTCAACTGGCACACTTAGCTAATTTTTAGATATCCACATAAACTATTAAGCTGAACAGTTCTAGTTGAAAAAGAAAAACCTACTTAGGAATCTCTGTGTGTCGAATGATATTTTAATTAATGTATATTTACAATTATCCGGCATTGTTCAAATGGTGTATATGTGGACAATGATCTTCGGCTAGGTCAAAACCCCTACAATACATTATGTCTTGTTCACCCTAAAGTCATATCTTGCAACCTAGGCACATCATATAACTCGATAATTTGTTTCTGATTCAGACTGTATTATTTAACGAAAGAAGTGAGTTAGGATAACATTAGTGAAGTTTTGGTACAAAAAGCTGTGAAACATTTTCACCATAGGTCAATAGTAATGCAGAGGAATGTTAACCTAAATGTAATCATCAGTAACCCTTTATTAAACCGAAAGTTGTTAAAAAGCAGGGAATTTATAGAGAGGTATTGCTGTCTACTTTCGAAAGTCCTCACTTGTATATGTAAGATAGAACTGATAGTGTGCAGACTGCATATGGAACTCAATACTACTTAATCACTTTTTAGATAATAGGAAATTGTTTTTCAGTGCTTACTGTTTTTCAACAGTTCTCCAGTTGACGTCAGTGTACAAGGAAGATTCCTCAGAAACATTACTTTCACCCATTTTCTCTTGAACAAAGTATTTTAAACTTTCTGTGGTACTGTATCATTTGCATAGTGACATGTTTAGGTTACACGTGTGTTATTTCATTTTATTTTACTTTACCTTCACAATTATCATCAACTAATAATTCTCCCCATAAAGTGAACGAGAGTTACGAACAGGTAAATATAAGATTGCATTCAAGCTACAAACAGCTAAGATAATCTTTTTATTACTCGGCAGGTATTTGTTAAGCAGTGACTAATGATGAAATGCAAATTAACTAATTCGTCAGTTGAATAGGACTGTGTCGAACATTGTATTTAATCGACAGACTTGATCTCATGGTGCGCTCCTTGGAAATACTTTGAGGAAAGTATTACCAAAATGTTCTTTCTTTGAATTATTGTATCATACTTGACCTTAAATTTGTAACCCTGGATAAAGAATTCATTTCAGTCATCACTATCCTTTTCCAATTAGTCAAAAATGTACAGTAAACGCATTGAATTATTTCTTAAATAATTTCTCATCTTTGTTGTTTTTTCATTGTTTTTTTCTTAAAAATGCTAACAATTTGTCCACAGTGAATTTTATCTTGTCACTATACTGTCTGCTTTTTGTTTTAACTTTCCGTTAACTTATTTTCCTCATTCACTTTCGTTTTCATCTCCTCAGATTGACATCAGGCATTGAATCGGTTGAAAATAAAAATTAATTTTTCTTGCTAATTATTCATGAACAATTCTGGTAAGAGATGTTCGCTTAAATCAGATGCTTTTCTTCTTCTACACATTAATTTTCTTCTCTTTCGATTATTACTTAATATAAAAATTTATGGCTTTCTTTAAACTTCGTTTAGTATTAACATAAACTTATTTATTACCTCATTTGTTTCTGTCTTATCCGTCCACCGTATTTTCATATCTTTTTAATTTCAACATTTTGTAACTCGTTCTATGTATTGTTTATTGTCGGAAGATACTTGTTTACGTAATTTTTCCTATAGGTTATATGCTCCTGTGTTATGTCCAAAGTGTACCCGGTTTTTTTTTAGCTTGAATTTAGACATTTTCTCATGAGAACTGGGAATATCGACCAACTCATTGAGTACTAGTATATGAAATCTAGTATGCACCGAAATTTCTAACTAATAAATAAATGTATCGAAACTATCACATCATATCTTTATATTTTTAATAAATGATTCCTTAGTTCGCTATTTTCTCATGTGTTCTTTTGTGATACAATTAAGTTAACTGGGTTTGATCTTTCATTCTGTATATCAGTTCATGCCATGATAATAGTTATCAAAATATCCCACTATCCTTCCTTTATTGTTAAGTATTCATTCATGCAGAAATATTTAGTTACTTGTTATTCAGTTCCGTAATCTTGTTTATTCATACAAGTATATACATTTTAATACACAAAATGATAGTACTTAGCATACCCGAATTGAAATATATAGTGCTATTGGTTGATTAAATAGAATTTCGATATTTTGTGTTAAAATGTAGTCTTATTATCATTATAATCAATGATTTTATGTTAACCAGATGCTGGTAATAAGATTTTGATTGTGGAAAGAAAAAGACAAAAGGGAGAACCTGAAGAGGGAAGATAAATATTAAGATATCATTTCTCAGTTCTTTTTATCTTCTCTATCATTTAACTGATAAAATCTATTCTTTTGTGTTTAATTTTATGTATAAATAACAAGACTATTTAAGTTTCTATGAAATAAAAACAATAAACGATACAATATTATCTTGTATGATCTCAAAGATTGTCAAACATACTTATTCGGTGTTAATTAGCAGTATTTATGAAGATGTTTTGTTAGTTATTTTTTTTTACAAAAAGCAACTAACTTGTTCGTTTTTTTCAAATGATTTTATGATAAACTCATGAATACCTTTATCATTTTAACAAAAATTATATCAAACATTCTATAATCTAATTATGTATTCACTCAATCATTTTCTATGTCCTATTGTATGTGTTAATAGTTTTCACTAAATCATCTTACATAATGAAAATGAGCGAAGGATTTCTTCCGGTTAACTCTTAGACTTTACAATGTCATCGTCTATTGGCGTCTGTTTATTTAGAAGGAAAAAAAGTTTTTTTTATTAAAAAAATGGTTGTTTTTCATGGTATAAAATGTTTAATTAGTTGAATCCCTATTTTTTCTACTTATGTGTTTGATTTTTAGGCGACAGCTTTATTTTTATTCTCTTCCAATTGTATAATTTTTATTACTTGCTAAATGTCTTTATGTAAGAAGAAAAACTGGAATTGAAGAAACTGTTCATCAATTATCTAATAATAAACAATATACTAACAACGATAACAGGAAAGTATTGAATAGATTGTTTCTTAGTTGAGTTGTATAAGAAGAATATGAAATAGCATTGTTATTATGTCATAATGGCGACGTGTTTTTTTCATGAATAAATGAAATTAGAATAATTGGAAAATTTTTAAATCAATGTTTTTGTATTTATTAGAAAGATACAACAGTCATAAACCAGTACTGCTATTCAATATTCATAGTGGTTAGAAGTAATAAATTGAATAATTTCATTTTGTAGAGGGATTTCATTTATTTCACTGATAGCTATCATCATGAGTGATAGTGTTATAAGAATTGAAAATCCTGAGGTCGAACACATACCCAATCATTGCGAAAGGAGTCACAGACTAAAAGAATATCTAATATTTCCTAGTTCTCAATAGTTCACCAGGTGATATCATCTAGCAATGGGCACCACTCTTAAAATATTCAATATTGAATGGTATGCTTGAACGTTTATTATAGTACACAAAGTGAAAGCTAGGGAGATTTATGGCCTCTTTCTCTATCCAATACGTATCTGTCTTCTCCATCATCTCAAAATCTATCATAAATATAATCCGTGATTAAAATACTTCTAAATATCAAAGTCAGCCTTGAGTTTGTCCATATTAGTTTATTTATTTAAACGCATAAACATGGTTAATACAAGGAGGAACCAAATATATTTGCGCCACACTTCATTATTCGGTTTGTATGAAAGCTGAAATACTGTCCGGGCTCCCAGACCGAAGTAGGTGGTTTTCTTGTGAAGCCACTCCTCGGGCCTTTGACCTAGAGGTCTAGTCTACAGGGCGGTGGAGCAACGTTAGGAGATGCAGTCCCATGGTAGCCGGTGACCGATAATTGGTTCATACGCCATTTGTTCCTTCAGGATCTTTGAGCCTATTTACACTATTTGTTTGTAGTCAGGGGTTTATAACTCTCCTAGTTAGTTCCTCTATATCCACCAATCGAGTTAAAGTTCTGGAAATTTGTTTTTCGTCCTCTCAATTTCGTACACAACAGCGGTGCCGCGAGAAGTCAGTGAGTAGGACTTCCTTGACAGTAGATGTATACGTGTAACCAAGTGAGTACATTTCGAGAGGGAGAGTGGACTCTTCCCCACCCTAGGCCGCACTAGGGCATTTGGGGGCATTTGTTCACAAGTTACGCGCGAATTATTTAAATACAACTGAAATTGTGATTTTCATAAGGAAAACATTTTGTAATTACTTGGTAATATATTGTATTGGAACAGTCAACATTGACTTCATTTTCGTTCTAGTCCCAAATAGCTGTAATTCTAAAATACAACCTTACTTCCATGGTTATTTCGGGTGCGGAAAAAGAGAATAACTATAGATATATGTATTGTCTAGATATTCTAGAAGCGTCGAACAAATAATCTATTGTCGTTTTAGAACTCTGAGAAGCTTCTATTGATTATTAATTGAATTCTACATCGTGGCTTATTTTCTGTTTTTGGGACTGGTTAGAAAAAGTGGAGAGGCGGTCAGCGTATGACATAATGTCATGGCATAAATGAACTCTATACGTGACTGGCTTTTTTTTAGACCTTCATGACTCCTTGGTTGGGGTCCTAAAGATAGTACAACACAGTGGCTTGAGGCGTTATCAAACATGGCTCTGAATAGAAACCAATGGCTATCGTGCTGTAACTTTCTTTTACTTTCTTCATCAAAGTGAACGTAACCTCTTTAACTGGAAGAATTCTTTCTGGTTGTATTCTTCTTAACTGAACTGCTATCACCATCATTTCTTCTACTCTTATTTAGTTATTTTTAATCGTTTGTTATTTTTTGTTGTTTTCACCTTCCGTTCTCCACCCCTTAGGAATCGCATTTTCTTATTGTGTGGCGCATATGCATTTCGATAACCCTTTGTACTAATATTTATGTATATAAGTGACGTAAAATTTGCTTTACTTCTACCGGTGTTTTTTTCAGAAACCAGTTGGTTAATGCATCTGAAAATTTTTCATTGAATCATAACGGTACAACTTTCTTAGTTTAGTTTTTCCATATACTACTGATATTCTTTTTAATCTACCTTTTGTAGTCATAAGTTGTATTAATTATACTTTTTTCTAAATTTTCAATTATCAATCATTATTAGTTATGGTTTAATGGATGCCGCCGCTATGGTTGATTTAGCTTTGAATTGGACTAATGTACCACCACAACGTGTATGCGAAGCTCAAGCTCCAATGACCGGTGATCCAATTACTATAAGACAAATGTCTAAAGAAAATTTAGCTTTAACTACTGATGGTTGTGAATCAGCCGCAGCTCTTGCAGGTGATCTATCACATCGTGTTGTACATTTGGAACATGTACAAGCTAAAGTAAGTATTAATTGATTTTGTGGTATTTAGCTTCATCTTTTTAATTATTTTAAACAATTAGTCTCTTTGATAAATTTCGGTAATGCAATGAGAAGACGTAGTTTATCAGAATTATGTGATATATTTGCGCAATACATTTCAAACAATCTGATCACGCATATATTAATTATAATCAATCATTTTATCCAACAATATACTTAATTGGGTTTTTGATATTGTGTAGTAAAATAATCCTAGTTGAGTTATGTTTTACAGTGACGATATATCTTTATCAGTTGATTGATGTTTAATCAAATTAACTACGATATCTGTATTACATTAGGTTATGAAAATCGGAAGTAATCTGTTTAGATGTGTTACCACTTTACTGCCTTTCTGATTACTGTAAATATTTATAAAATGTTTTTGAATTCAATGTTAGTTTGCATCACGCATTTGACTGATTCGTAATGGGGTCATGGGTCTTAGCTACTGATGGGTAAGTTGTAAACTAGGATAAAGTAGCTTTATCAATCCGGCACAGTTTTCAGTATATTGTAACTCAAGCTGACATCCCACTACACAATAAAAAACCGACTCTAAGTCAAGTTGTCTTCGTAAACTTCCCCTCGTGACTAAATATTTTCCAGCTACTAAATTAATTGATGAACACAACAAAATGGAGAGATTTGCTAATCACTTTACTGAAACTTCAGTGCACCGTTGTTTTTTCCCAACATATTATTCATGAAATCCTTTTGTTAAAACTACTGTCATCTAATAATCTTTTTTATTTTATACTTTTTAAAAGTTGTTAGGTTCTTTAACTTGTTATAGGCAATTTTTTACATTACTACTTTAGAAAATGTTGAGTTATATCCTTTTAGTACTTTGTAAATAGAGCATTTTTGTCTTTTGACTAAGTAAAGGTCTAGTGAGGAAGGTGGACGTCTCGGTATTGACTCATTTAGTGCAAACTATCCACAGCCAATTTTTCTCAATTATTTATCGGGTCAGTAATTTTTTCCCAAAGTCTTTTAGACGGCATAGGTAATAACCATTCGGATTGAAAAACCGGAGTTGTGTGTACGAAAGGAATATTTTCAAGCGCTTTTCTTACCTTGGCCAACCTCAAAGCCAATTAATCAACAATACTATTAACTACTGAATGACCTAATATGACAAATGTACTTACAACCTATATTAGTCAAACATAAATAGCTTTATTACGTTTATTTACTTATCTTTGTATTACTTTAAGCAATTAGTCCCTTTTGATAAATGTCGGTGGTATAATAAGAAGACGAAGATTATTATTATTATTATTATTATTATTATTATTATTATTGGTTTAATATCACCAATAATCTCCCGAATACATGATTTATCTACTTAGCACTTACCCCATTTTATTATTTCTTACTAATTTCATATTGATTTCTACACAAAAATTTGATCTAATTTACAATTACACTGTTATTTCTCTCACCCTATCTGACCCATATTTATTCTGACCGAGATTCTCATAATTTCATTTAACTGATTCAACTTAACATACCATATAAGTCATATCAACATTAACAATTTTATTTTATTTCACTATACTAAATTCACATGTTCTGACTCTAAACGATACAGTTTGCCCTAAACATGACCGCTTTTTTGATGATTAATTTGGATACATAATTGTAGAACTTCGTGTTGTATGTTTGTTTGAATCGTCCCATTGATGTTTAGACTTGTAATCGATCAGTTTCTTATTGGTATATGTGTATGCTGTGAAGACATATATAAGCTTTCATTTTAAAATGATTCTATGTATGACATTTCTTGTGTTTTCCTTCTTTCATAACCGGATTTAAAGATTAATCTCAAAGCCTATGAAATAAATAAGTTTACTTGAAAAATAAGGATTTTCTTGGAACAACTAAACATTAAGAATCATATTTTGATTGATCTCATTGAACTATTTTATTTCAGATTGTTTGTCTATGTTTTTAATGGTATTGAACAATAATAACTCTCCGTACTATTGTCTAATCTTGTGGTTCTATTGACTGTTAGCAATTTTAATTTTATATTCTATGTTGATATGTACTTTTCAAGGAATTTATGTAATTGTAACTATTCAATATTGTTAAAATTATTTGGATAGCCTAAACTTGTCTATCATTAGTTACTTATTGGAGATTAGTGTTAATTCATACAAGTGGTTTTTTCTTATACACAAAATATCTAAACAAAACATGTTTTCAAAATTTATGAAAAGTTATAAAACTGTATAAGTTTGTCTGTTTAGTAACTTTAATTTGTCTTCAAGTAGTATTGCGTAAATACAAAAGTTTTGGGATGTACTAATGTTTAACACTATTTACTTGAATTATTCTTAAGTTATTCTTGTAAAAATAAAAACTTACTTCAACCTATATAACCCTTTTTTGCAATAAAATAGTAAGTGAAAACACAGACTACTAGTTAACAGCTGTTTCATTTTATTTCCAAGTTTCTTTCGTCTAAATATTTAAGCACTAGATAACTTGATGTAATGTTGTGTTATAATGCATATGTTGCAAAAGGATGAATCTGTGTAACATTAAAATTTACAAACTAATAGGAATCAGATTTTGAGTTAAACTAGTTTATAAACAGAAGGGGTTTGTGGAGATTTTAGAAATTTCACAGATTGAAATCATGAGTCAATTGAAGCTAGACCACCATGGAAAACCTGAAAGCACTGGACAGCTTCAATTGACTCATGATTTCAATCAGTGAAATTTCTAAAATCTCCACAAACCCCTTCTGATAATAATCATCTGCTCATTAGTGACTGACTTCATGCGATACTCCTGGATTTATAGTGAGAAGCCGTTACCAATGGAGTTCAACCATGTCTGTTGTGAGATATCAACTCACTGAAGACAATGGTGTACGGTGGCGCAACTCCGTAGATTGGTTGAAGTTAGACATTAACACCATTGGATGCCGGCTCAGTGGTCTAATTGGTTAAGCGCCTGGCGCAAGACTAATAGGTCCTGGGTCAAACCTCGCGGGGTGCGGTGTCCTGAATGCGCACTGCTGAGTAGTCCCATACTAGGACGAAACGGCCGTACAGTGCTTCGAGGTTTCCCATGGTGGTCTAGCTTCAATTGACTCATGATTTCAATCTGTGTAGTTTATAAACTATAAAAAGATGTTATATATGTAATTTTATTCTATACTAATATACATAAGATATTTTTATTTTTCAATGTCTTTTAGAATGACAAATTTTATCCAAAAGTTTATTCATAGAAGTGTACGTTCTTATCTAGACAAATACATAGAACTATTCTATAAATTTTTGTAATTTGTTTTTGGTTTGTTTCATGTTTTTCTCTTGAGTAACAATATTGATAAATATGTTTAAAGCCCGTCTCATCGATTTCTGTAATTTATGGATGACCTTTTGAGCGGAGCTAAAGTGACCTTAAGAATATCCATCTACTTGCTAGGGCTAAATGTGGGTTATAAAACAGTGTGAAAAATAAAGATTATGATTTACAGTTGATAGTTAGGGTTATAAATTAGATTTAGGGTTTTCATCACGTACTGATGATATCAGCTAAAATGTCAAAACACTGTCTAAACAAATGCATGAATAAATTTCACTCCAAAATCCAAGACCTGGTAACCCTAAATCTGATTGGTTCGTCTATATATTGTAGTCTCACCTCAAATTCTGTTTCATTTTTCCATTTAGCTTCCTTAAAATCTCTGCAAATCCAACTTATTCATGGAATTTCTATTTATCAAATTGATTGATTTCTGTGGAGTTTTATTCATTATTATCAATATCATCTTGATAGGAAAGTAAAATATTGCGCATTTAATTTATTTCAGTACAATACAACTGTATGGTGAAATCTAATCATATTGAAGTTGCATGTCGAAATTAGACTATAAATGATAACATATAATGCATATTAGTTTCTAATCTACTGTAATCCTTGTGTATTTTAATTTTTTCAAGTAATCTCAAATAATCTGGTAACAATCATTACTATGTTCCATTCTGATGTTGGTATACCTACCAAGATAGGTTTATAACATAGATTAATTTTAATTCATACATTTGTAGTCTATGAATATAAAATATTCATGAATCGTCATTTTGAATCTATTTCTTGTCCATTTTTTTAAACTTTGAATTATAAATTCATTCAATTTGGTGGAGATGAATAATGATGAATATGCTAATGATAAGTGAGTGAATGAATGGTTAAGTATTTATTGGGTAGACTTATTTTTGTCGAAAAACATCAAACTTTTTACAACTTAGTAAATAGAATTACACTTGGAATGATTTAATTAAGATTTTTCTAATGAATATAATTGAATTTGTTTTGCTTTTTTTAATATTTATTTACTAACCTTGTTTCATGTGAAGCATGCTAAATTAAATGTTTGTTTAAAATACACAGTAACTGGCACAATCAAAAGTTTATATTGGTCTTAAGAAAAATCACGTTTTTTGTGATTTCATGCTAAAATGGAAAAAGTTTGAATTTGTTGGATAATTTCCAAATCATAAAAATTTCTATGGGCTGGGATTGATAACCTCGTGCTTTATCCGGGCTTGGAACTGGCAATAACCCTAGAAGGGTTACATGTGGAGTTATGGAGACTATAGGGTCTTTGATTTTTATTTCGTATTTGTACTTCGAGATTTTTATTTGTCAATGATCTTAAACTGCTTCCCCTCACTGATTTAGTATATGAAATTATAGGCCAGATAGAAGAAATCTTACTATAGATCTACAATTTCAACATTTAACGGTTGATATTTTCTAAATCTTTTCAATCCACATTGTTAAATGATATTATGAAGACGAATCCGTACTGATTGCCAGTTTCATACCTGTTTATTAGGAATTTATAAGCTCATCTTAAGTCATAAACAGTAGTATGCATAAACTTGCATTCTGAATTATTTTTAATAATCAACATATGTTTAATTTAATTGTTGAAATCATGATTCAATT